CGGCTGCGAGGACGCCAGCTGCAGCGGGGGAGGCTGCGTGCCGCCGGAGCCGCCGGGACCGGGAACAGGTGATCACAGCGCGAGTTGCGGGGCCCGAGCCGGCGCTCCCCGGGGCGCAGCTGCAACTGCCCAGGTTCGGGCGGACAGCTGACGGCGCGCGGCTCTGCATCCGCGCCCGGTCATCCCTCTCTGCTCCCGGGGCAGCCTCGGAAGTGGCCCGGGCCTCTTCCCGCGCACCGGCGCCAGCTCCGCGGCGGAGCAAAGTTGTGGACGTGTCCGGATCGCCGAACCCGGCTGTTGTCGCCGCCCGGCCGGGTGCGCGCTCTCAGGGAGCAGCGTCCGCACCAGCCCCGCCGGCGCGTCACCCCCCGGAGCCAGCGCCCTCTGCAAACTGCTTCTGAGGCTGAAACTTTGGGCTCCGGCGATCGCGGGAGGGAGGCCGAGGGGCCGAGGACGCCGCTGGGCCGTGGCCTGCGTGCCCTGCTCCGCACCCGCCGGCCGGGCGCCGCAGACGGCATGTGACGGCTCCGGCTCGGGAAGGCGCGGGCCCCGTGGACCCGGCGCCCCGGAGGGGAGGCTGCGGCTCACGGAGGATCGCTGCGGGCCCGGGCCCCGGCTGTACCGCCCGACTCGCCCGGGCCCCAGCGCAAGGGGACGCGCTCCAAACTCCCTGAACTTCCCGGAAGGTCCCCAAGGCGGCCAAAGTCGGGGTCCGCAGCCCTGCCCGAGGGGCACCACTGGCGCTCCTGACCCCGGCGCTCCCCCAGCGGACACGTGCCCCGGCCCTCCCTTGGGCACAGCTGACCGTCCCCAGCTCCTGGCCAGGACGAGATGCTCATGAGGAAAGTGCCGGGCTTCGTCCCGGCCTCGCCGTGGGGGCTGCGGCTGCCGCAGAAGTTCCTTTTCCTGCTTTTCCTCTCGGGGCTCATCACCCTGTGCTTCGGGGCCCTCTTCCTACTGCCCCACACCTCTCGCCTCAAGCGCCTCTTCTTGGCCTCCCGGACCCAGCAGCCCGGCCTGGAGATGATGGCTGAAATCACCGGCCACCACCCGGTTCCCGAGCAGGAGCCGCCTCCCAACCCGGCCCCTGCAGCTCCGGCCCCGGGTGAGGACGGCACCAGCATCCTCCGTAGGAAGGGGTGGCTGCGGCGCACCCGTCCCACCGGGCCCCGGGAGGAGGGTAACAGCGTCGCGGCCCCCAGGTCGGGGGAAGAGAGAGTCCTGCTCAGCTTTGACTATAATGCGTTCCGGAGCCGCCTTCGACACCCGGTCTTGGGGACAAGGACTGACGAGAGTAAGGAGCCCGAGAGCCTAGTGCGAGTTCAGCGGGAGAAAATCAAGGAGGTAAGTAGATGGCTCCCCATCCCCAAGACTTTGCGCTCCTAGCGTTTCCCTCTCCCGTGTCCCTCCTGGCGTCTGGTCCACCCGAGGCCCTTCATGCACTCTGTAGCCCCCTTTCCTCTCTCCAAACTTTCCCTTTTCTCTTCCCTGCATACTTGAGAGTAACTAGGGATTCAGTTCATGGCCCCCACCTCCAGACTGATCTTTCCTATTGAGCCCGCAAGCCCTGGTGGGACTTTACCCTAGTGGGCTGTGAGAATGGAGCTCGTTTCTTAGTGGGCGCCCAACACTTTCCCTCACTATGTGTCTAAGTCTTGACTTCCACCTAGCCCCAGCAAGACACTGAAACCCAGGATTTGTGAGGTATTTGGTGTCCAGCAACTATTTTGTAATCTAGTCAGCATCTTGCAAATCAGGCGATGTGGTCCATTCCTGCTAACTGCTTCTATCGAGCTTTGCAACAATTGTACATAATTGCATGTGAAGGAGGGAGGAATGATCAATAAAACAGTGGTAATGTCACAGCAGCTCTGAGGTTATTGGCTTAATGAGGCGGGTCTTGGACTGGTTCCCTGTAGGGATTGGACCACGGAGGGATTTAAAAGGATCACTTTGAGTCAGAGTCTTAGTTTAAGAAATCAAAAACAAACACAGCTTCCATACGGTTGGAAGACAGTAGCCAAATCTCCACTGGTACCTGAATGTTCTGCTCCACCCCAGTTAAGAGTGGTCGGTGCCAGCCCTGAAAAACTAGCTGTAGTGACACTCCTGGGCCACGAGGGGGCTGCGGGCAAGGGGTGGGCTGGGGTCTCCTCCCTAGAAAGGGGAGGGTGCTCTCCCCTTTGTGTGGACCCAGAAGGAAAGAGCTCCCTGGACTTCTGCCTTTGCTGCAGGAAGTCAGCAAATTTGCTTTGATTTCTAGGGCGCAGGCAGCAAGAGTTAGGGGCTGCTCTGCCAAGACTCAGGAGAGCCACTGAAGGGCTTGACTACCTTTTTTCCTCTGTGGGAGCGGTCCTTCCTCCCAGCACACACCTTGCTCCCATTTATGGCTGCTCATACCCAACCATTCTGTGCTGAGCCCTGTTTGAGATGGTCTTAAACTTGGTTCTTAAACTAGCAATCTCAGGGTGTTTTGTGAAATTAAGAGATAGGAAGTCACACAGACAATTTGAGTGTGCCCGTGGGAGTTCTCCAATTCTCCAGTTCTCACTGGATTCCAAAGATTAATTGAGGGCTAGAACTTACAGTAGCATCAGCTCTCCCCTTTCTGTTAAGGGACTCTGTCCTCCCAGTTCATCTGGACCACCTGCAGCTCCCTTTCTCTCTGAGTATATGAGCTCTTTCTGGGCCTGACCTCCTAGGTCGGCTGCAACTCCCAGTGAACTCACACATTACACAGTGCCATTTCTCAGGGGATGCCCAGAGCTACCATGAGATTTTCTAAAAGATCTCCAAAAGGATTGAGAATTAACCACCATTCTCCTCAAAGGAGGAACAGCCACCCACTTCTGAAAGCAGGGGTAGGTTGCTGGAGGGGAGCTTGGCTCTCCTTGTCTGTGTGGAAACAGCCCTCTTAGCAGGGGAGGTTGGGGGTGCTAACTTGCTGATGGCTGGGGCTGGTAGGAGGTGTAAGAACTCTGTGCTTTGCAGGTGGGTGTGAAATAATGGGGTGGGAGGAGGTCTGCATTGTTGCCAGGTATCTGGATCTGTGATGTGTTAGCTTCTTATACCCCTGGTTGTAGCTGGAGGCATGCTGTGGTGCCTTGCATTACTATTCCCTTAATGTAAGTACCAGTAAGCCTTCCTTTACTGTCTTGGAAGCTGCTCAGAGTGGAGGGGACTGGTTTATATGTTTGGACATCTCTGGTCTCTTCAGGCTTTTTGGGTTTGACAGTCCCCTTCCCTCCCACAGCCCCCACCCTGAAAAAGGTGGGTGGTGTCTTTGGTTTAGATGTTAGCACTGAGTGATTGTCCTACTGTCCTACATGTATGTCACTGAGTAACATGCCCATGAAGGAGCATCCACGAGGCTGCTGCTGGGGGTATCTGTTAAAAGCTTCTGCTTGCCATTTCTGTCTGCGTCTAGCCTAGGAGTAGAGCATTTTAAAGGCTCCTGTTTTCCCAAAAGGGACTGTGGCATTTGTCTTTGGTTTGTTTATTTCCAGACATGGATTGATTAGACCCAAGAAGCAGAGGGGAGCTAGGATCAGATAAAAAGGACCCTGTTCATATAAGATGAGGTTTTTAAACTGAAGGAAAACCAATCAGGACAGAGTCAGAGAGGGTGATAAATGGGAGTGAATGGAAATTGGACACCTCGGCTCCAGATCAACAAAGTGTGTTTAGGAATATTCTGGTTTGAGAGATGGGTGTGGGTGTGAGGTCTGGGCTGATAAGACAGGTCAAAGCTGCAGGTTCTGAGTATCCATGCATCAGGAAATCCTTTATCATTCCCTAGTTTTATAACCTTAGAGAAAGCAGTATGATGGAGAGGGAGACCCTGAGAACATGGGTTGGTGTCTCAGCTCAGCTGTCCACTGTTAGCACTCTTAATGCATCTTAGCCCAATGAGGTCCAGGACAATCGTGTGGTGATGGCATTGATGGCAGTGATGGTCGATCTTGTATCACATGATACAAGCTTGTACCCACAAATAGGTACCCAAATATTTATTAATTTGATTATTCTCAACACTCATGTTGAATGTGGGAATGGGGTTGAATGGCTCCTCACCTTGGACTCATGAAGAGCAAAGATGTTGTCCACAATGCAGGGATGGGCGGGGGGACGGAGAGGCTTGTTAACACCTTCCTTTTCAGATCTGAGGACCATGTAGGTCCACAGTGGTGTCCAGCCTTTGAATGTTATGATATGATGCTGTCATCTATATATGTGCTGAGCTATATTCACAGCTGTTCTGGGAGGTTTGCAGCCTGGAGGTGGAGATCTAACATGCTTGATAGGGAATGGGGGTCCTCATCCACAGGTGGTTTGTGAATTCAAGTTCAGGCGTTTCTCACACGTGACCTGAGTTGAGAATGGGCAGTGTGTTAGTGTCACATCTGAGGAAAAGAATCCACAGTCCTGAACTCATGATGGTTGGTTGCTGAGTAAGGAAACCTCAGGGGTCCCTCCAAGTGAAGGGCCTTTTGTAGAAGGGAGTTGGGTGATTACAGTTATGAGTACTGGGTTCTGGTGCTGGGTATGCACCTAGTCCATGCTACTTTTAGACAAATTTTAGGAAGGACCATTTCTTCTGGTTCCTTGTTCTAGAATGCTTATCTGGGCAAAAAGAATCTGGATTGAATTTCCTACATCCTTGCCCACTTGACCCAGTATTCTTAGATTTCACCTCACACAGCAGTCATGCTAAGAATACAACTTGGGTTCAAGGTCATCAACCCTGACCTTGGGAGAAAATTCCTGTTTATCTCTGGGTAAAACCAAGAGACCAGCATTCAGGGACTGCTCTTCCCCATGCCTACTTGTTTACTGCTGTGGTTATGGATCTGTTCTAGCACTCAGAATCTGGTGTGACATTTAGTTGGTCTAGATACTTGAATGAATAGTTTCATTAAAGATCTGTAAATTGGGCTGCAGAGATCCCTCAGTTGGTAAAGTGCTTGCTACAAAGCACCAGGACCTGAATTTGAGCCTCAGAAATCACGTAAAACAATAGGGTTTGGTGGCATGTGCTTGTAATGTCAGTGCTGGGGCGGTAGAGACAGACGGATCCCTAGGGTCTACTGGCCAGTCAGCCTTCTAGTCGTTGACAGGCTCAGGCACCTGCTGCCAAGTCTGAGGACATGAGTTCCATCCCTGAGACCCACATGGTGGAAGGAGAGAACTGATTCTGCAAGCTGTCCCCTGACTTTCATATTGTGGCATGTGTAATGTGTATCACCCCACACAAAGTTATTAAAGGTAATAACAAGTTGATGTTCTTTAAAAAAAAAAAAAAAAAAAAAAAAAAAACCGAAGATTCTTAAGGTGGACCCATTATAATGAAGTAATTTGGTAAATGCTAAAGAGATAAAAATGAATAAATTATTAAATTTGAAGCATGCATTGACATGAAAATTTAGATTATTTCACGTGTATTTAGGGTTAATTTGGCTTTTATGTCACAATCCATCTCTGAGTACAGCTAAGGCAAAATCTCAAGGATGGAACTTGGAGAAAAACCGGCTTGCTGTCCCTGACTTGCTCAGCTACTTTGCTATGTTTTCATCTTTTTGAGACAGTCTCCCTGTAGACCCAGCTGGCCTGGAACTCACTATGTGGACCAGGATGACGTGGATCGCAGAGATTCAGCAGCCTCTGTCTCCCAAGTGCTGAGATTACTGTAATTGAAGGCATAAACCACCACACCTGGCTTTCTTCTGCATTCTTTCAGCATTCTTAAAGTCTGCTGGTGGATGACACCTCACACAATGTGCACACCTTTTACATGAATTAGCAATTGAAAAAATGCCCTACAGGCATGCCCACAGAACAATGTTATAGGAGAAATTCCTCAGCAAAGATGCCCTCTTCCTAGGTATATCTAGCCTTGTGTTAATTTGACAAAAAACAAAGAGCAGTGTAGATAAGTCAATGGATCTTCCCCTGTTTTTCTAGACTTAGTTTCCTGATCTGTTCTAGAATCAGAGCTTTTTGAATGTGAAGCAGTATTCTTAAATTTTACTTTAATGTTTTAAAACATATTTATTTTTTAATTTATGTGTATGAGTGCATAGTCTCTATGTATGTAAGTGCACCCACCAGTGTCATGAAATGCTTGTGGAGGCCAGAAGAGGGCATGAGATCCCCTGGAACTGGAGTTTTGGATGGTTGTTAGTCATCATTTGGGTGTTGGGAACAAATTCAATAGCTCTGGAAGAGCAGCCAGCGCTCTAAATAGATAACACATCTCTCCAGCTCCTAAAATAATATTAAATTTTGGGGTTCGACAGATTGCCCAGTGGTTAGGCACACTGACAGCTCTTCAAGAGGACCTGGGT